ATCTGGAAACTTTAGAAAACCTCATCAGTAATCACCTCTCGAGCAATAATTATCGTCTCACAATCACCCGTCGTTCGACCAATCACAGCTCGAGAAACTCTATATTCAAGTCTAAAATTACACTAATAATTAATGATTTACTCATAACTATGATGCTACCCATCATTYGTATCTTACCTATTTTTGTTWGTCTTAGGCCTAGGGCAAACGTCGAACTTTCCATGCACCGAACTTAATTACATCARAGAATGMYGCCTCATTATCACCTGATATCCATTGTTTTTAATGAGTTCGGTGCATGGAAAGTTCGACGTTTGTCCTAGGCCTAATTAATTAAAACAGCGACCCCAATTAGCATTGAAGACATTTTTATAAGAATAATAATTTAAAAATATATCGATTAACTGGAAACAAGACGACGTATTAAGGATCGTATCATACGTATAGTAAAGCTGATCAGAACTACGATATAAACTGTTTTGAGCAATTTCTTTAACATGCAAAAGAATGAACGGAATAGAGTCCCTATGTAATAAATAAAATGTTACACTGGTTTTTTCCAGCGATGCTAATTAAACGAGCTTAAACCAAGAACACTAGTCCATTCCTAATGAAAATAGCTAAGCTAGCTATTCTCTTTAGATCGAAGTATGCATCATTTAAATTACTTCACCYGATTGTTGCATACTGACTTCAGCTTCCCTTGACCACGATTCAATTTCATAGCGATGTAAAATTCAACTGAAAACCCTTACCCGAATAAAAGCGGAATATAGAAATAAAAGAGGATAGATGGACTAGTTGACGCGAGTTTGCGTCATTAGGGCGACTTGAAGGCTTTCTTTACGTAAGCGACATAAGACGATGACGAAAGACAAAATTAATTAGAAAGATATTCTTTACAGAAAAAATTCAAATGAAATTTGAGCCCCGTAGCTGGAAAGTAGAGAGTAAAATCCTTCATATATAAACTGTTTGGATAAACTCTGRCCAACACCTTTTTGCCAAAAACTTTTCTTTTGCAGTTCATTTTTGACTAAAAAAATATTTGTGCTTTTTTTAACAGGAATGAAGTATAATAAAAAGGAAAGACAAGCCATAGTTAAATTAACGCCTTGATTTTGGATTTTATTCCTTTTGGATTTCAAAGCATGAACCATTCTTCACCATTTTCAGCAAGTATTCTTGACCATCATAGAAATTATGACAGCAAGGACGAATATCTCTCACTTAAGTCGACAGACAATACAGAGCCGTTTCTACGTTATAGTGAAGATCCTCTTACCAAGAATAAGAATCATGGTACCTCACTAGCAGATTGTAAGAATACCGTCAATAAGCCCAAAGATGGCGCCCAAACTGATGTCCACTTGCTCGCTTCTAATCCATACCTCCACTGTAACGTAACTGATACTGAACACGTAGATAATGAAATAGCTTCTCAAAAATTAAAAGAAAATTGGATACAATACACTAGTAAACCACTTGGAATAAAAGATCCAGCTC